TTGAAAACACCACAGTTATCTCAACTTCAATATGTCCAGAGCTGAAGTCATTTTCTTTTCAAGCCCACCCCTCTGTCACCTTCCTGGATGCCTCCCTCAGTTAATGGCACCATTCAGGGACCATCGATGAGAAACTCCTCCCTCCTAATAAATGACAAACAGCCTCCTAAATATCTCCCTTCCATCCTCACTGGCACTGCTGTAGTATGGGCCATCACCTCTCCTCTGAACTCTCCCTACACTTCCTGTGGAATGTTCCTACTTCTAGTCCATCCTCATCCCATCCTCCACACTGCTGCTAATGTGTTTTATCTAAAACATGATGCCTCGGTGCACTCACTGACCTGCTGAGAACTCGCCAACAGCTTCCAGAATCCTTTCAGTTAAAACCTAAATTCTTTAATACGGCACACAAAAATGTGAACTCCCTCCACTCCCCTTCTTAACACTTTTCATTCCTCCTTGTAGTTCACAGAGCCCCTCATGCAGTTTCACATGTCTGTGCTTTTGCATGTGCTGTTAACGAGTCAGAATGCTCCATTCCTCTTCCCTTTCTCTAGCCTTCAAAATCCTGCCTTCAAAATTCTGCCCTCTTCCTGGATGAAATCAAATCCCCCCAACTTTCTATAACTTTTGTACCATGAGCCTATTATTGCACATATCATACTAAAGTTTGTTTGTCTTCCCATTCATCTTCCATATTAAACAGTGGGCTCTCGATGGGTTCATTATGTCTCTAGTACTTGGCATAATGATTAGCACATAGTATATGCTCAATAAAAGTGTGCTGAACACAGTGGGTGCCTATAAGAGGCATTTGTTTCCAAAGGATCCATGGGCATGGGAGCATCAGGGAACTGAGCATTCAAGTGTGGGGTCCTGAGTTTCTGGCTTTGTCCATAAGGAAGTAGGGGGATTCCTTTGGGGGACTAAGAATATTTAGGAAGGTGCATTAGGATTTCTCATAGCATTGCAACTGTTTCTTGTTTTTATACTGATTCACTCTGGGAGACAAGAGCCTCAGAAAGTCTGACTGCAGGCTCCCCAGCTTTATTCCTGCCACTGCCATTATTCCTAACTTGTCCTCCTCTTTGTCTCCCCAAACTCTTCCTGGGCAGGTGGCTGCAACACAGTCTATCCACTGAAATCTCTGGATCCTCTTAAAGAGTCACACCCATTCTGTCCCTACACACAGTCCATGGGTCCACTTAGGGTGTGAGCCCCTCTTAGCCAAGAAACTGGGTAATTAATAAAAGTGGTGACTTAGGAACAAGACTTAATAAAGGCCCATTTTCAGGCAAAGAGATTCTACATAATGAGAGTGAGCTGTAAGGATCAAAATAAGCAGAGTAGAGAGCAGATAACTCAAAATATGTAAGGAAGTTCTTTGTTGTAGGTATCACATTGGAAGTATCTCATGGAAGAGATCTAGCCTTACTGAGGAAAATTGGGTAAAGCTGGGTTCCATGCATTGCTACGGCCTATCCATTTTACATCTTGGCATTTAAAGGCTTTGACCCAAAATCACATGGTGCCTGCTATCTTACTGGGTCATTTGTGACAACACACTAGATACTTACAGATGACTAAACAGACAGGTCCCATTTTGTACATGGTGCCGTGCAGGCTTGTCAGAGATTGGGCATTCTCTTGGGCCACTTCATTCTTTACTGAGAGAAACAATGAAAGGTGGGTAGATAATGCTTGTCTCTCGGAAGAACAGAAGCCCAAAGGCAGAATGTAGAATGGGACAGTCTAATGAACTGGACTCTCTGGTTAATTAAGTAAAAGCCCTTTTAGTTTCAATCATTTTCACTGAAAAGTAAGCACAAATTCACTTCTTCTGGCTCTGAAAATACAACATGAAGACCCTCATTGTTTATTTGATCATTCATGTGTTTGCAATAAATACACAAGGGTCATTACTTTGCCATCAGCTCTCCCTGTAGAAGGAAACTGGGTGAGAGTAAGGGGCTAAAGAGGATGTGTACTGACCCAAGGATGTACCCAGGAAGTTGTTGGGGTTTTGGGGGATTTGTTTTTGTTTTTGATTTTGTTTTTGTTTTTTTACTGGATCCCTACATTGACTTACTTCCCTATGACTGTCTCTTTTTCCAAGCAGTAGAGCTCAGGAAAATATTTTCCATTATTTGAAGGTTCCAATTTTGACTGACTGAGGCTTTACTGTCCTTGCTAGGGATAAATGTAAGGTCTTGAACTTGGGTCCAGGAAAACAACTGTACAATTACCAGATGGGGGAAAACTGGCTCAGCAGAATCCTCAGAGAGCCTGGGGGTTTCGCTTGTCAATAAGCCCAGCATGAGTCAACAGCACAACACCAGTGCCAAAAACTAATGTGACCCTCAACTGTACAAGCAGAAGTCCACAGTCGGGATGAGGACAGTTATGGTCACGCTCTGCTCTGTGCTTGTTAACCCACAACACAAGTTTTACATTCACTTCTGGGTGCTGCCCTTAAAGAACACAGAAAAACCAAAGCATGTTTGGAAAACAGCAACCAGAATGAGGGAAGTTGGGAGCATATTCTGAGTGCTTAAAGGGATGAAGGTATTTACCAGGAATAAGGAAAAATCTAGGAGAAGTAGGTTACTAATCTTCAAGTAATTAATAAATTTGCCTCTCAGAGGGAAATAAACTTGCTCTCTGTAGCAAGACAATAAACCAGGGCTGGTAAATAAGGAGAAGGTTTGGGCTCTCTATAAAAAAGAGCTCAAACAATCAAATCTGCCCCAAAATGGAATGGGCTCCCTTGGAGGTAGAGAGCTATCCAATCATAGGCTGGATGACTATCTGGCAGAGATTTAAGCACCAGGTTTGGATAATTTAAGGATATCCAAATCTACTAAAAGTACTTTTGACATTCAGCCCTGATATTCTTTTTCCCCTAATTCAACTCTGAGTGATAATATTCACCATCAAAACACTGGAAACTGCCTTATGGGAGCTAAAATCCAACTAATGAGATGAAAGATACACCTGAATTGGAATAATCTATTCCATTTCTGCTAGCTGCTGACAACAATCTGCTTGAGAGTAAACTGACCAAAAGGTTCTACCTCAGGGCTTATCTCTAACATATGGGTTTCAAAACCAAGCCTCAAAGCCAAATTGGAAATAATTGCACATTCTCCTCAGCTGGGGATTGCTCTTGCTCAATTGTAAGCAGTCTCCTGAGATGTCACCATCTGATTTAAGGCTGCCACCAGTTGACTCATTCCTGAAACAGAAGAGATGATGGAGGGTATCAAGTGATACCTTAGGGAAGTGAGTGTTTCATGCCCAACATATTCCAGTGCAGCATGATGATAGATCACAGAGCCAAAGACACCAGGAAGGTATGAGTCAAAGAGCTGGAAGGAAGCACTGCTTAGCATAGAGCAACTGACTACAGATCCAACAACCTCAAGTCCAAATCCAAGTGGTCATTTCCTAAGCAATGGAAAACACATCTTGAGAATTTATGGTCAAATGAGGTTCCTGCTTATCTAGATTAAGGCAACAATAATCTCATGAATTCTATTTCCCAAGGAAATTTAATTTAGTAACGTCCATGACCAGTCTTTCAAACCTTTGTCTGTGTCACAGTCTTCTCAGTGGCTGAATATATTATGTCTCACTTATCTTTGTAACCAGTCACTAGTACACCCCATCTCAACACCTACCTTTATAAAACTTACTTGTCCACACCATGGACATTGTGGCTGAGCTGAAATGAAGTTTCAGAAACTTTCCAACTCATCAAAGTTATGTGACTCGGCACATGCATACACCCAGGGGAACAGGAAGAGCTGGGAATAGCTGTGGAGAGTAATGATGGCCTTGACTTCTCCATGACTCTTGGTGAAGTCCTCTAAGGATTTCACTTCAACTTCAGAGTTGGCACTGGGTCTATGGTATGAATTAGAGCAAGAGTTGTTGTTAGCCCCAGGTCCTGACCAGATGCAGAAGCGGCCCAGTGAGAACAGTGAGCTTTAAGGAGACACTGTATGGAGGCAGTTACCATGTGTCACTCAATTCCTCCTCTGGAAATCAAATCAAGATCATCATTGTATTAGGTTGAGTTGCTACCTAAAGACATAGTCAGGAGACCTAACGGGAAGAGTGTGGACACATCTCTCTTCTTTGAAAACATGGTTCCACTATATGGCAGAAAGAGCTGTCAAATTAGATCATCTCCCCTCTGTGGGAGTTGTTGGAAGAAAAGCTAGATTTAATATTATAGATGGAATTCCTGCCTTGGGTGGGAGTTGAGCAAGCTCATTTTCTGGGATTTCTTCCAATTCTTAGAGCCCAAGAGTAGAAGATTCTATGTATCTGTACTTCTAAGTCACAAAGCCACAAATGCAAGGAAGCTCTGATATTCTTTCTGCAATGAGGAAGTCACAACAGGGCTATCTTTGGCCTTTATTTTCTCAGCAACTAGAGTTACTCATGAACACTAAAGTGGGCCCACTGTGCCTGGTCAGGGCTCCGAATGCTAGAGAAACTCCAAGGGGATGAGTAGAGGTTGGGATTCCCCAGGGTCTCTAAATGATATGAACAAAGTATATATACAATCTGTTGTATTATTTAATAAGAACACTATTCCAGGAAAAAATCTGAATTTGAATTGCTAAAAATTGTTCTATATTTTGAATCTGATGCTTTGATTTTTTTTCTTACACTAAAAAAAAAAACCTATTATAAAAACAATGAATGAAGTTGCCATTCATCCATATCCTGTCACAGTTCCCTAATGTCTCCTTTCTTGGTTCAGTGACTCATTAATTCATTTGTCTTACAAATATTTAGTGACTGCCTTCTATGTGCCAGACACTGTGCTAGGCGTTAGGACTACTATAGCGAAAAAGACAGTTTCTAGCCTCACTGTTATCATACCTAATGAGGAAAAACCAAATAAATTTCAATTCTGTGATTACAGAAACATGAGATTTTAACTGATGCCTGAAAGTATAAAGGAGCACTCCCCTCATCAGCCTTGTACTAGACCCTGAAAAATCAGAGCTGCAAGTCAACAAAGGCAGAGAAGCAAGTATTTTCTCTTTGAATTCATTTGAAAATCAATTTCTTAATCTTATTTGTACTTCATTCTAGTTTTCTTTCTCGAAGCATCCATAGATGATGTAATGCTTCTCCTCCAACTAGATCCCAACCCCCTCTAGTGGTTGGTTCAGGGCTTCCTGAGGCCGCCCGCCGCAGCGCAAAGTCTTGCTCTGGAAGCTCAGAAGCTGAGCCAAGATACAGCTTGTGGGAAAACCAAAATGTGAGACAAAAACTATTAAATGCCCCTCAGAGCTCAGTGACAGCACCGTGTGCCTGTGAAGGGAATTTAGAGTCTTTCAAATAGGTTCTTAAATGGCTTCAATCATGAATGGACTTAGCAGGCTGACAGCACTGCAGAGCCATGCAAATAGTTTGTTGGCCAGACAACATCTGACTGTCTTTGGGGGCAAGTCCCTGTGCCCACCTCCAAAACCTGTGTCCCAGTTCCAGTTAGGATCAACACCAACACAGAGGCTTCCAGATAACTTGGATCGGGTCTTCCAGTACATATGAGTCTTTAAAATACAACAGAAAGAGAATACATTAAAAAAAAAAAGACGGCCATTCAGTCTGATGAGCAGGTTCCTTTAGAATTCTGTTCATTTCCCTCTCTGTCTCCCACGAAGGCCCCTTCAGAATTGCGCTGATTTCCCTTGCCCACAGAGGGACCAGCAGTCCTCAGACAGCATTCTGCTTGGAGTTTCTCAGCTGTCTCACCAGGGTGAGAAGTAAATAAACCCCCATCTCCTCAAATGAATACCTGCCAAACCATTTTCCATAGAACCCCATTCCTGTTAAATGTTAACAATAACAAACAAAAACAAAAACAAAACAAAATAAATGCGGGGAGAGAGCGAGGGTTCTGTGACAGAATTTTGGGGGGGAAGTAACAGGGTTAAATTGGTTAATTTACTTCAGAACTTCTAAGGGGTTTTGGGGTTTTTTTTTTAATACTTAATGTTTTTTATGAAGCTTCAAGAGAGGAATACAGTGGGTGTTATTTCCCAAACTTGACTATGAAATCCTTTATTCATAGGGTATCTCATGAGATGAGTACTAGCATTTGTACAAGTTCCTTTTGATCACACGTTGAAAAATGTCATCGTAGTAGGCTCTCTCCAAAAATAAATTTGAAGTTCTGATACATTTTGAATATATGTGGGGTCACAGTTGCCATAATGGTGTTTTGTAATGAGATTTTAAAAGAAAAAAATACTTCATAACTCCTTTTTGTGATATTACAGAGGATTGCTTCTACAGATTGTAAGTAGAATGCCAGATGCGTTGCACTGCCTACCTAAATCCTACAGCAATCTAATTGTCAGCAGGTAACGTCCGCCTCCGCTTTTCTATCAATCCTACCACAAAAACGCAAAGATAATTGGAACAAATCTCCTAGGTGACTCACGGTGAACACTGAACACAAATAGCCCAGCATAACAGCTAAAATGGGCTCTGACCGAGGGAATACAGAAACATATCGTGTGTTGGAAAAAGAAGTGATTATAAACTCCACTATATGCCTCAATTCAGGGCCACTACTGAGATTAAGCATTCCGTTTAGGATAAATCAAGAACAGAAAGATTGCTTTTATTCTGTTTTGAAGTTCCGACACATCTCCTCAGATGCCTCTTGAAGAGAAAAAGTCCAGGCTTACTTTGGTTTGAGAGAGCACATAGCCATCCGGGTTGGTGACTGGCAACAGGAAGACATCCATTATATCCAAAATCAAAGTAATGGATGGATCATTTCCATAATCAGAGGCAATCTGAGCAGAGACAACAACATATATGTCAACCTCATACTCCCTTTTTGCCAGGAAACACTGGAGCGAATATTAAGTCAATGTGTTTTTTCAAAACATGAACTAGGTATCACTCACTGCTGGAAAATGGGAGTCCTCCAGCCCAATCTCCTGTTAATGTGTTTAATATGCCAATGTTGATACTTTTACTTCCAGTCGTAATAATTTACTTATATTAAACAAAAATCAGATATCACTTACCCATTCCCTCTCAAGGGCAGGTTTCTTCCTATTAATTCTGGTGAGGGATTTTGCAATGGTGTGCAATGGTGTACGTGGCTTAGAGGGATCTATGAACCAGGGAAATTTTTTCAGTTCCTTAATCACCACACAGGCTATGTAGCTTTCTAAAAGTACTCACAACCAACATCAGATTACTTAAATATGCAGAGACTTTTCTAAAGATCCAGAGAACCGGTTAAATTCCATTTGGGGAACTGCATTTCTACTTGCGATCAATTGCAGTAGAGTTGAAGTTTCCGCTGGATTAAAATTTATTCATTTCCTGTGCTCAGCCATCCTAAGGCATTATTATTCAACTGTTAAATATCCATTTCATAATACCCTAAAGGTAACCGCATTTTAATTGAAGGGCAAAATGTATCAGCCAGTATGCACGTGGTTGCACAAGCTTGAATGATCTGATGTGGATTGATTTCCTTTGCTCATGAATTAACATTCTGATTTATAGTGTGTCACTTCTGAATTACTAAAGAAATACCAGACTAGGTCACACCTAGTGCAGTGTCCTGACTCTAATTCCAACGAACATGTGGAAGAGAGATATCGCTACACCCTAACTTCAAAATCGGATTTGGAAAATTTTCAGAACCACCCGAAAATCCTTAACAAGTTCACTTTGGATCTATGGGTCAAAGTAAACTCTCCTAGCACCTGCTTATGTTTGCTATGAGTCCCTTCTGCGATTTTACAGATTTCTAGTACATCGTGCCTCAGCCCTCGGAGCTCCAGGCAGCAAAGTGATTTTTCTCTAGTCTGTTCTTATGCTGAAATCTGACTCCTGGGGTCCTTACCTGCCACCCTCTCAAACTCTTCTAGCTCTTGGAATCTTTTAACAGAGCACACAGTGGCCAGCAGGCCAGGGGAGGGGAGCCTGTGTCAGGGTTCTGGGGGCGGGTTGGGGGATACTAAAAAAGGTTTGAATGGGTCCATTTCCTGCCTGTGTAACAAAAGAAGGGCTTGGGCTGAGAGCGTTAGCCATTAGGACCACAGGGACTGCTGTGTGGGTAGACAGGGCCTGACCCCAGAAAGACAAAACAATCAGGGAATTTGGGGCAAAAACGACCTTACTTGCTGTCCACAGCGAACTAAGTTGTGTAACCCACTCCCGGGCATGGATCCCGGCCCCTCGCCAGATGGCCAGCTTGTCTCCTCCAGTGCTGAACTGCAAAACAAGCATGGAAATGTGAACGGCTACACCACCGCAGACCCCTCGTCCCCTCTCTTTTCCCTGAGGCCTTGTCGGTCCCTTTTTTTGTACTTGATGTGGTTGAGAAGGAGGGGGTGTAGACAGTAATGCTGTCGATTAACTCTTCTCATTTAACATGATTTTTCTGGTCCTCTTAATGCAAACTTAAATGCAGGCTAACAAGAGGGGCATGCTTTGATGTTTGTTAAAAAAAAATCACTGCGGATAACGTGATGACATGAAAATATGTTCATCATATGTTGCAGATTTTTTAAAAATACTACAGAATAGTATGATGCCGTTTTTATTTTTGAAAAGGCTAGCTCATGTGTATATATATATATGTGTGTGTGTGTGTGTATATATATATATATATATAAGTACACACAAACAGGAGAAAAAGAGAGGGGGAGGAAAAGATACAAGCTAGAAAGATAAACAACAAAATGTTAATAGCTATCATCTCATACTTGCGGAATTATAAAATGGGAATGTTTTTCATTTTTTGTTTGTTTCTCTGTTTTCCATTTTTTGCAATGATTGTATTTTTTTAATAAAAAGGCTTGTGATAACCTTTTGAGTCTTTCATAAAAACAGGATGGTAGGCTCTGGAGGTGCTTTCCAGAGTTTAAATTTTATGATCTAAGTGACTCAGTTTTATTTGGAACAGTGGCTTTGCCAATTGGATCAGTAAATGGGGAGGAAAAGATTATTTTTGCACCATCAACTTCTATCTTTGTGCAGCATTCTAAACATCGCAGATAAGGTAAATGAGAAATGAAAATCCTTGCTAAAAATTACATTTCATGCGTTTTGAGAGTTTTAGTTTAATGTCTTTCCCACTTTTTCCTTCAAAGAGCTCAAATGTAGAAAAGTGGGGAACTTTGGAAAACAACATTCTCAACCACAAACCACCTGGGAGAAGGAAAGGCCAGGAAATCCAAGGGTAAGGAGAATCTGGGGTTTCCTGACCCAGCTGTAGGAGAAAACGGGAAAAGGAAATAGAAAGAAAATAAGGTAGTAAATATGAGCAAACGTGCCACGGTGTCATGAAGTAGGCGAACCACTCCTCCCAGACCTGCTTTGGGAAAACCGCTCCGGAAAAATCCATCTGTCCCAGCAAGTCCGTTGGTTCTCAGCCATAACGTTTCCAAATTTAGCAGGGAGTTGTGACATTATTTTTTTTTCCTTAACAAACTCTTTCTAGGAAATCTGGGGAAATAACTTTCACTCTTTTTCAATGCAAGGTGAAAAAGCCTGAAACTATCAGCATTAAAACTGTTGTCAGAAGTTTGAAGTTGGAGTAAAACCCTAACCTTTTCCGGTTAGCACCTTTAAAATACCTGCGTTTATGGACATTAGCCTCTGCCGGTTAGCTGCCCCTGGCATTTAGTTGCTTGTCACCCTGCTCACTGTGAGAACTCTGGGTTTTAAACGCGGCTCCGGCAAGTACTTGGAGCTTTTTCTTTTCTTTTTTCTTTTCCTTTCTTTTCTTTTCACTCGGTTTTAAAACGAGAAAAAGAAAAACAAGGCACAGAACTCCTACCTTGATTAATTACAGAATACCCCCCCATCCCCGTGCTCACCCTGGGGCCCCGCACCACTTCCCCCACCCATCCTCCCTTACCCCCCCCCCGACCCTGGGGCCCGCACCGCCTCCCCCTTCCTCTGTTCCTATTGGCGCATACGCCTGTTTTCCTGCGAGCAAATCTATCAAGATGAGAGCATTAATTCACTCCTGCAGACCTGCGTCAGCTTGCGCAGTTAAGAGAAAAAGAAAAGAAAGAAGGGTGGGGGTAGTGGGGAGGTGGATACTCAAAACCAGCAAGGACCGGTTAGGAAAGGGAAGGAAAAAGGAACTGCTCTGCAGCCAGAGCTGGGACAGACGGCCCGCCTGGGAGGAGCAGGTTTCTAGAAGCATCGAGAGGAAAAACCAGCACTGCACCTGTGTACCTTGAGTACGTTCATGAGCTGGTTTTCAAAAGGATAGCCAATGTTCACCTTGCTCCCTAGACCAGGGTGCTCAGCAACGAGGTTATTCATTTCTTGAGAAATATGGAATGTTTAAAATGAAATAGACATTTGCAGATGAATAATCTGATGCATCCATTAGTGACTTTTCTCTCTCCTCCATTTCCATTCCCTTGGGGACTGGAGAGGGCAGCCCGGCAGATGCTGTGGGACTGGGGACGCTGGAGTCAAAGCTAACAGATGATGAGTCCCTGGGCAACTACAGGGGCTGGAAAAGAGGAAGCCATTTTGCAGCAGGGGAGCTGGCTCTTTACAGTTTTGTGATTCAAATAAAATGGAACTGATCTGGCTTGCCTCTGGCTTGCCTCAGCCCAGCTATGAGAAGGAACTTCCCCAGCCAGAAAGCTGCTTGCCTTCACTAGCAGAGGAACACAAATGGTAGTGGTACAGAAAACCAAACAAACAAGTGTATTTAGAGGCAGGCACTACAAAACACAGAAGGGCAGTTACGGCCAGGACAACCTGGGTGTCTGCCTCAGAGGCACTTCGGCTACCTGCTACTCTGGCTCCTATTTGCAGGGCTGATTGAAATGCTGTGCAGCTGGGGCACCCAAGCTGTGTCCATTGCTGGTATCGAGACATGTCTGGGCGTGTCTGGAGAGTGAACGGCTCCTCCAGCTGTTGCCAGCATTTGCTCTCGGCAAGAGACAGACACCAATTTGTAAGGCCAGGCAAAGGAGAGAGAGCATTTTGTTTCCATCACTCTCTTTTCTCCCTCACTCTCTGTACGGGTCCACTATCCTTTATCTGAAATCCTTAGGGGCCATACCTACTTCAAATTAAGAAAGGTAGGAAGGTACACTGTATATAACATACGGGCAGTGCTCCATATTCAACTATGTTAGTATTTCTGACAGTGAAACACATGAGCAGCAAGTTAGTTCAGGTCAGATTTTGCCCCTAAATGAGTTTAGGTCAGCTCAGAGTTTGCCACAAAACAAATTCAAAATTTTTTTTTCAGAGTTATTTGTGTTTTAGAATTGCTGGTTTGGGGGAATTAGGATTCACCAGATATCTGCTCTCTGGCTCTTTCCTACTCCCCCACCTCTCCCCTTACCCTCCCAACCCCCATCTCCTCAATCCTTCCCCTCCCCTGCCCCTCTCCAAATCAATGCAAATACACCCCCGTGGCCCCCAAGAAAAGCTGTGTGTCGCAGAGGCAAGTGCAGCACTGTCCAGGTGACCCAGGTGGAGGACGGGGGCATTCTTCACACTAACAAAACAGGAAAGACAGAAGAGACAGTGCACAAGACTTTGCTGCCATGAGGTCTGAGAGCATTTGGCAGGTTGAGGGGTATCAAGGTGTCCCCTGATTCCATCATCAGTGGCAGCCATGAAACACAGCTCTCAAATGCCTTTGTGGGTGGCACAGGTCAGAAATCAGCATGAGCATAAGGCTGTTTTGTGCTCACTTAAGCCACTTCTGGACACTTCCAAATGAGGTGCCTGCTGGGATGGACAGGTGGGCTTCGGGGCCTGCCTTAAGGCAGTGACACTGATACTGACTGTGAAATCCTAGAGAAACTGTAAGAAGTTAGGAAATAATGTGAGAATAATTTCCATTAAATCACCAAGTTTAAGTATAGGCCTTGTTATCAGAAGAAGAGAATGCCCTGTTTCTTTGATGTTCATTTTGAAATACCTACCTCTTCCAAGATACGATAAGCCTCAAAGTTGAAACTACCATTCCATTCTCTTCTCTGATTAAGTAACATTTCTTCATTCTTCTTGTCCAACAGAACCTAAGATAAATCAATCATACCTATGATTAGTTTACAGTGATGCATTTGAACTGATAATAGTGAAGGAAATGATGATTCTCAAGTTCCCAGTCCCAAGCATTCCTCTCCCTCTTCTATAGGCTTTGGGGTGATGCCTTTCCCTTATTCTGGCAGCACCCTGAAAGGGGATGGGGCATAAACAGATTTCTGGCCAGGCAGATGCTGCAAATGTAGGACGATATTCATGTGGCTGTCTTACGGCTCATTCTTCCTTTCTGGGAACCCCAGGTCTGAGGTAACCTCCAATTAAAAAGTAAATGAATAACATCTTACTTTTACCTACTTTGACTAACACTCTTCAGTTTGTACTTGGTATTTCATGCCAGAGACTCTCTTTCGCCGTTTCCATTACATTTTTTATTACCATATCTCACTTGTGCCAACTGCAAAAAAGAGAGGGACAGAGGCTTCCTACTCACTCTGCGGGGGTAGCCCAGCCTGCAGGAAGGCCCTGGTAGCACCCACAGGTCCCTTCTCTGGCAAGGGTACCCAAGGATAAAAGAGGATGGACCTTCAGTTCATATGGACCAGCAAGCCTCTGGAAGGGTACGCTGAGGGATAATCACCTGAACACTTCCCATCATGATGAAATAAACAATTCCCTGGGACTCTTTAAGAAAACTTTGACTGCCTGGATGCTGACAAAGGGAACTCGGACATGGGTTGTCTCTCCTGGGATGGTGGGTGATTTCCAGAAATTAAGCTGTAAGGGATAAAAGGCCAAGGCAATGAGTGGGTCATTCAAGGAAAATGGACAGCTCAGCATGGGTATATTTCAAGAAATCAATTTGTATCTATTTTACCTCAAGCCTATAAGGCTAGAATCATTGTGGAATTACTATGATATTGCTGGAAGGGTTTTTAAATATCCAAGCATCAGCATATGTGTAATATTATTTTCCCCTTATATGGTTAGATATTAAAACTGGCAGAAGGTAAAGATTATTTAAAACTGTAGCAGTTTTTTTTAACAGTTGACATTCAAGTGATCCAATTCATTTCATAACAATATTAATTCTGTAAATTATTTCAAAGGGAAATAATGCATTAAAAGTGTTCAACAATTTTTCTGAATGACTTTCACATTCAATTTCTCTTTTCATTTTTACAAAACACCTGTGAGACAGAGACTGGTATATTTATCCTCATCAAATGAGACACAGGGAAGATAGGTGACTTGCCCAATGTCACATAGCTGCGACTAAAGCCCAGGTTTTCTGTATCCCAGCTCCATGAGTTAGCATTCCACACTTCTCATCAGAGAAGACAAGATACAATCCAAAGTAAGAGACCACAATCATGTCTATTTATGGAGTATTCACTCTGGGGGGAAAAAAAAAGGTCCCCTCTAGGACAGATACCTGAAGATGTTCTTTAGCCTCCAATTCCACAAGATTTTTTATTTGTTCTTCATTCCTTGGTATGATCTCAAGGATCTGACCTCTAAAGAATAGTAACCCCAGAGAAGGTATAGCTCAGTGGAAGAGCACATGCTTAGCATAACATGAAGTCCTGAGTTCAATCCCCAGTACCTCCATTAAATAAATAAATAAATAAACATAATTCCCCCCGCCGAAAAAAAAGTGGTTTAAAAAAAGAGAATGTTAACCACAGACATGACTTTAAAAAAAAAGCCTGGGCACTGTTTCTGTTGCTTTCTGCTCCTGTCAGTCTCCACATGTAAAAGGTTAATACAGCAGTCAATAATCTCTTTAACAATCAAGAAACTAATAAATAGTATACTGACCCACATCCCCAGGAGGAGTTGATATAATGGCTTTACTTCCCCCAGGGAACTATTATCTAAATAATAATTAACAGCTGTACCTGCTCCTAGCAGGAAGTTTGCCAGTAAAGTTACCCTTCCTTTAGCTAATGATTATTTATCAAGTAACACTTGCTGCTCGTAAAGCATTGGCTTTTAAAACTTATCTGTTCCTGTTTTTCAGAATAAGGTTTTTAAAAAGTAGAATAATTAATTTGGTGCTTAAAAGTCCTCAAAAGAGGAATTAAATTTACATCTGGGTAGACCTAGGGTGTTTTTGTTGTTGTTAGCTAAAGTGTATCAGAGTTCCATCTCCAAACCCCATTCATGTGGCCCAAACTTGGGGTATGGCTAGGGAAAATTGGGACCCAGATAAATCATGGTGTCTCTCTCTCTATATATACACACACACACACATACACATCCCCACAATGAGGAATAAAGGATATCAAGGACACCTTGGCAGGAAAGAGAAGTTGCAAATCAAGCAAACACATATCCTTAGAAAAAAGTCGAGTAGTAGAGCTGGATTCTTATAGCCCTTCCTTGGTGACAGAGGTTTTTCCTCTCTCCCTTTCACTGAGTAGGCTGACTTCCTGAATCACTGCCCTGCTCATTTGTGCAGTGGGGAAGGGATTGATACAGAGAGCTGTAATGAAGGACCAGAACCAGGTCTCCTGAAATCAAGTACCATCCAATTTCCATTTAACTCCACTAGAATATATAAGTGATAGAATGTATGCTCTTGAAGTCTCTGCTGCCTTTCGGTACCACCAGCCATAGATGGTCTGAAAATTCTTCCATTTGAGTCTCATTCCTTTTGGGTAATCCATAGATTCCCTTTAAAATGGGAAGGCATTGGGAAAAGTAATACATTGATTGGGTTAATATTTCCTGGTGTGTTTTCTAAGACCTTTTGAGTTGCTCAGCATAAAAAAAAAAAGAAGGTGGGAAGGAGTTTGATGATCAAAATAAACGGATAGATGCAGCAACCTAGATCCCCCCTCTTATAGATTTACAATGTACACTAATTTAGTAAAAGTTCCTAGAAATTCCATAATTTGTTTAACCCTCTGATTCCCAAATTTATTTGACTGCCTATTTTGTAGGCCAAATTTATTTGGCTACGTTGCTAGTTCCCTGCAACACTCTTCAAGAAATGCTGCGCTCTTCACAGAATCTTGAAACCAAAGTACTTTGGAACAGAGATGGATCCTGCAGATCCATGATAGTTGGATTTGGGCTGAAGTCTGCAGCCTTGGGCCTCCCATCTCATGAGGTTCCAATGTCTAAGCACTTGATCTGAAGATAGGAAGGACTTGGGCTGACATGGAGGAAGTGGGAGAGTAACCTGTCACTTACTGAGATGGCACTGAGACAAATGACCGAACAGCTTTATTTTCACTGATGTCTGTTATCCCTACCTTCTGAGCATCAGCAGGGAGGATGATTAAGAATAGAGAGAAATAGGGTGCATGTGTTCAGTTTTCACTTCTTGTTTTTCTCCTTTAAATATCATTCCTCTCTCTCTCTCTCTCTCTCTCTCTTTTGATCACTCATTCCTATTATCCCAGTATCCCCTCTCCAAATCTAAAAGAACTCTGAAAATGCTGAACACTTAACACTCATTATTCTGCAACAATCCAGTGAGAGACTCTGTGAATCGTGTAAGCAAAATTCAAACAGGCACCAGAAAGCATAACTTATCCTACAAATGTTTCTTGACAGTAGATATGACCAAAAGGGGCACCAAAAAAACAGGATCAGTCTTATAGTTAAGGGTCTTCCAAGAGTCCAGAATTCAATGTCACTCCTGCACTTTATTTATAGGGACCACGGCTGCAGCTGATGTGCTGGCAGTCTAAGAACTCAAGTGAATTCCCACATAGTAAAATTCCCACCTACATGTCAAATTCTCAAGGTTGTAGACACCCACCTGTGTGATATCACCAGTCCATACATTTCCATTCCTATGATGAGATAACAAACTTTGATAGAAAGAAAACAAACTTGCTAGAGCATATCAAGGCTAAATCACGCATTTATGGTTTAGAACATAAAGTGCCACTAACTCCAACCAGTGATAGAAGCCAGATTAATAGACCTAGAGGTTAAAGTCGTTTCTGGGTCTCTGACCAAAAACAAAAAAGGGCACAGCATTTATAGTAATTACTCATGCATCCTGTCTATCACATTCCATTAGTTTGCTCATTTGTTTATTTTTATAATGTTTACCCAGAAACACTGCAATCACTTAGTCCACATCTGCTGAATCTCCCTATAGATATGGCCCATTCCAGTCCTCACTCCATATTAAAATGAAACAGAAGGCCTTTTAATATTCAAGTTTGGGCTGTTTCTGAAGTGATCCATCTGCATTTGTACCAAATTGATGTCCCTGTTCCTGTGCTTTTTCCCAAAATGAAAATGACTTTCTAATTATGACAACGAAATTCTTGTTATAGGAAGTTTGGATAAAAAGGAAGTGTTTTATTTAATCACCAATAAATCCTCCACCCAAAGAAAACCATTTAGTGTCTATCTTTCCAGCCTTCTTTCTATGTTTTAGAGGTTTTTCTTAAACAAAGATTAAATTATAACATACATTTTGATTTTTAAACAAGGTTTTTTAAACAAAGGTGGTATTTCCTTGTCTGTGTACATTAATCTGACTTTGTTCTTCATTGCAAAAGGAGAAAATACACCTATCTATTTTTAGGAATCAAACTTTATCTCATTTTAGTCATTTATATACATTATATTCACCCTAGCAAGAATTAACCAACAGAAACAAGGAAATTTTCAACTTTCCTCTGTGTGTCAAATTCTTCATCTGCACACACTTTAAATTGCTGAATTAGAATTCTCAAGTACCTACATTAAGAGGAAATGTATATATGTGGTGTTTTGGGGTTTTTCATTCTCTTGGGTGTCAGGAAGAAGAAAGAAACCAAGAGGCAAAAGCTATAGTTCACCCTCATGTCCCCAGCACGTATCAAGTAGACAGTGTTCATATGAAGTGAAATTAATGTACTTGGAGAGTCAGTAAAAGCTTCTTGGAAAAGATGGGGTCTGAGCTGAGTCTTAGGACATAGGATTTGCTGAGGAGAGCATGGATTTCTGGTGTTTGGGAAACATGATTAAGGTAGAGAACAAGGAAAATAATGGCACACGACTGGGTTGGGAGGAAATTTGCAGAGCTGACCCTGGACGTGATGGGGAAGGTAGAATATAAGAAGATATGAGAAGGGCTAGATGGTGGAGGGCCTCACAGTCCAAGCAGAAGAGTTTATACCTGATGAAATGGGCAAGTGGAGAGCTTCAGGCTTCTGAGCTGGTAAGTGATGGATGAAGGTGATGTCGAGAATGACGAATCTTGCAGGGTGGTAGCAGGACAGAGATACAAGCAGGCAGCCAAATAAGGAGCTTCCTGGAGAAATTCCGATTAAAAATGGTGCATCTGGACTGGGTGGTGGCAGAGGGAATGTACGAGATAGGCTCAAAGAGCTATTTCAGTGGAAGAATCACGAGTC